CTCGGGATACAGTTTCTGGAGGTCAGAAGGAAGAACACCAAGCATTATCTCCAAGAGAATGAAGAACCATTTTACTGGCACTGAACGTCTGAAGCTGATACCACATTCAAAGAATGTGTCTGGCCAAGGGGGTAAATAAGCTCACACAGGCAGTGGAAAAAGTCTACAAAAAAACATCAATGCTGCTTCAGCTGTCACAAACTGACGCCAAGCTCTTCCAGAGAGAGGAACAGACTTAGATTTATAGAATCCTGAATACATAATTTAATACAACTGGATATACTTCAAGTAGAAACAGCCTTGTAATTGATTACAGAACTAAGCTTTTGCCTGAACTGTTCAGCCATACCCAGGTGGGATGATAATGTTCACTTCACTTGTGGAGTCTGTAACTTATTTCAGCAGAGCCATTTTAGTTGCACAACTCCTTGATCAGAAAATGGTCTGGTTCAGATGGTATTTAGTAAAGGTTTGAGTTTCACATAGAGTTGCTTTTGTAAAAGGCTGTAAATGGACGAAGAGGCATTAACGTCCAGTCTCCTTGCTCAAGGAATTTCCAACTGCTACAGGAGCTGTTCAAAACTAAAGGGCACATTTCTCCTCTCAGCCCCACAATTTATAAGATTCAGCTCCCAGCAGAGCACAGGCTCTCTAACAGATGGCATATATGCTGGATGCTTTAAAACTATTTCTCAGCCACTGCTGATAAGAAAGCTCTTCTTTGACCAGGATATTGGATTCCCAGGCAAAGGAGACCCTCTAAAACAGTGGCAATAGGACCTATCTAAAGACTGATACTGATACTTTCTGTTCTTTTCCATTCATAGAACCACCAGTTACTGTTTTTCACTTGTCAGAACATAACGTAGGAATGCAATAATGCAATAATGCTTCCAGTGGGTATTTTTGACTCTTAAAGATCCAGGCCATGCTAAATTTGATCTATTTTTATTGCCAAGAGTGGATACACAGCTAAGCTCTCCCACACCCTTGTGAAAGCAGATTTAAGTAAGAGAGATCAATTATTTCATATCTTCACAGGTTGGTTGGTTTTTTACTTGTTAAATGTTCAAGCAGTACTGGCTGTTTCGAGGCAGGACTGAGATTGTTTTCATATTGATCCATCTGTTTTATTTTTAAAGAAACTTCCAAAGCAGATGAAAAACAAAAAATGGCCCACAAAAGGAAGGTTTAGCCAAGCTGATATGAGAACAATACTTGATCTGTTCTTTCTCTCCAACAGAAGCACTGGTATTTCACACTATGTCTGAGAGCAAACAGGCCTGCAGGGCACATTTCAGTAACCAGAGGTTTTCATTGAACAGAAATGCCTTTGCGGACATTCAAGCATCTCTGGTGGGCACTCACCTTTTAGATCAGGAAGTTACTGCATGTCCATTCCAGGTCCATATTTACCGGGAATATCTCTGACTAGATGTAGATTTTATACATATTTAAAAACAAGTATGTACAGCAGTAGAAACAACACATAACAGCCACACTCACAGTGCCCTGAATCCCTCTGTGATCAACCTGACACAGGGACTGTGAAGCTGAGTTTGCTGATACCCCAGAATCACCCCCCCTGCACTCACCAGTCAGCCAGTGGCCTTAACCTAAGAGTATCCTGTTGTTTTGAGGAGCTTCTTGTAAGTCTAAATGGAGTAAACGACCATTGCACACAAAATGGCTTAAGGACTAATGGATTTTCTTCATCGTGTCATCAGAATGACATCAGCTCAGGACAAAGTGCCACTCTTGTAATAATATACATTTCAAGAAATCCTCAGTATTTTGGTTGGATTTTGTGAAGCCAATCTGTCTGTTTACATGGAATTCCTTATGCACGTTTATAAACATTACCTTAGAAATGTGCAAACTCCGTGAAGGGCTGGATACACAGACAGTTGCTATACCCTGCACTCATTAACAAACAGGAAAGTCTATACAATTGATATAAGAGAATATAAATGTTGCAGAGACTCCTCAAATGAAAGAAAGGCAAGGACTGATACTGAACCTTGATTTAGCCAGCAGCTTAAATTCAGGGACATGTACACAGTTTCAAGAAAGATTATGAAGTATTTCACACGGAAAATTCTCTTTGTAGCCTCCTCCTAGAGGTCACACTATCCAGAGAGATCTGACAATGGATTTATTGTTTCTCATTTTTATATTATTTCATGTGTAATCTGTTTGGGAACTAACAGACCTTCATTGTATGGAAGAAATTCTTCCTTTATTCTTGCAATATAAAAAGCTACTAAGTTTCCTAAAAAAAGTCAGTGAAATGATTCATCTGGAACAACTCCCAAGAAAATTCCAAAATTGAGCAGAAATTATATGAGTTGTTTGGGTCTCAACAGACATGAGGGGACAGGAAAGGAACACACTGCTCAAGGTGTACTGGAAAATACACGTGGTTAATGAAAATACTGATACCTGTTCCCAACACCCAACATGTAACCCAGAGACACCAAGCAGGAAAGTAAAATCCAGTCAAAACACATAAACAACATCACCTGAGTTTCACCAAGCTTCACTTGGGGTGAAAGGTCAGGAGAACTAAAATCCAAAAGCTGAAATCAAAAACCATCTCCACAGAGTTACGATCCAGAAAACAACACTTGCAACTCCCTGAGGGCAGGACGTGCCATGTCGGTGGGTAGGAAAGAAAGCAATTTAGCAAAGATCACCTCACATGCAAAATATGCCAGAATGTTCTACTCAGACTGAGGAAATGGACAGGGAGTTAGTGCTGCAGTTTGGATTGCAGTAGTAGGTAGTAAAACCTTGCCTTTTCTAGGGAGTAGAAATGAGCAGCTTTGTCATAAAATAGTTTCTCTTACCAAGCATTTCTTTCTTCCCCAGTTTTTCTGACCAGTAGCTGCTCAAAACAGCATGAGCAGATCCTTAAAAGAAATTGGAAAACAAAGTACAGAATTCAATTACAATCACTGTTTTATAAAGCAAGCACAGACAAAATGTAAATGCCACAGATCAAGTGCCACATGTGTCTAGAGAAAAAGAAAACAACAACTAAGAGTTTGCACAGCAGACAGAACTTAAGGCTTTATAATTGCCATTATTTACAATAAAGCAGAATTACTTCCTCATCCTCTGGCTGCAATGGAAATTTTGTTTAGCTGAGGGCTTCAGCATTAGCCACCAACACAAAAAACAGAACACCAATGGAGGTGGACATGAATTTCTACTTCAATACTCATCTAACACTGAACAAGTCTCTCATCTCTAACTGGAACACTTCAGGGAAAAGATCTGAAAAAGACACAGGAATGTCTGGCCTAATGACAGCAAGAAGATGATTTGATTTTTTCTGAATGAGTTGCCAGCAGTCCTGAAAGTTCTCAGTTGAATGAGCACTCCTGCTGTCCACATAAAACACTAAGGTAGAAGAGACTCCAAAGAACAAAAACAGATTCATGAAGTTTAGTAAGAACTTTCTGATTGAACTGAAACAAAAGGAAGAGTTGCTTATCACACACATATATACCTGTAACAGGGTCCTCTGGAATTCCATTCCAAGGTGCAAAATATCTGGAGTAAAAATCATAGCCTTTCCCACTGGAATTTCCCTTAAGAGTGAGGATGAGCCCTTTCACTTTTCCCGTCTTTTCAACTGACAAA